TTGATCAGAACTAGTAGACAGCCTGCCCAGTGTTGCTCAGTGGTTGAGGGTCCACCCATGCACCAAGAGGTTGCGGGTTGGACTCCCGGGCAGGGCACATGCCCTGGTTGTAGGATTCCCCTGTGGAGGTCATGCAGGAGGCAGCCAATTGATGTTTCTCTCATTGATGTTTTTATCTATCTCTCCCTCTGTCTTCCTTTTTCTCTAAAAATCAATAAAAACATATTTAAAAACAAAACAAAAGTAGTAGCACAGCTGGGATTATACTCATGTCTGCCCAACTCGACTCGTATTATGTTAGACTTTGGCATATATTATAAAAGGGTTTAGGCGAATATTAGAAAAGGGTTTTTAAGCCATCTTAACTTGGGATATGTTTTACTTTATACAAGGTGATTTCTCTCTTCCATTCTTATGCATTCTATATTAAAAAAATTTTTAATTATGTTTTAATACTTTCTATATTTTCTAAAGCCAGAGGAATTGAAAGAACTTTTGTACTACTATGCATTTCATTTTGAAACAATCCCAGACCACTTGGAAACCCACTTCATTTTCGAAATTTGATGGACTAATCTAGTTTTCAGTTCTTTTCACTTTCATACTCTTTCTGTGCTTTCCTTGTGTAGGGATGGCAGAAATGTTGTTGAATTGTTAAATATTTGGTTACAGGAAAGGACCTTGGCTTAGGATTTAGGAAATTCGGGTTCTAGTTCTGCCTCTGAAGTTTAAGATACTGAATAACAGCATATAGTAACTCTTAATACTCTTTTGCCACATTAACTTTTGTAAATAAAAGATCAAATATGTGAAAAGCATTTCACAAAAAAATTTCTCTGTGTGTCAGAAATCATAATAGCTACAGTGGACAGTTGGAACCAGAACTAAAGCAAAATAATTTTAGGTTTATTGTTGTTGTGTAAGGACCTGCTTAAGATTTGGACATCTTGTTAAATGCTTGTTATAGCCTTTGGCTTGGCCGAAGCAAAATGCCAAACTAGGATTATTGTGGATAGATGACCAAATTGCTATCTGAATTATTTTGTAGTGACAGGTTAATTCTTAAAGGACTATATTGTATTAATTAATTAGGTCTAAATTAGGGAATGTTTTGCTCTCTGAGCTTTGTAGAGGGAGACAAAAGAATGGGAAAGAAAACTGGATTGGGAAAGCTAGCCTATTGTAGTGGAGGAGAAGAGGAATGACTCTTGGGGGAAATGGGGCCTAATGGAGTCTTTCAGAAACATCCTGAGAACTGAGTTATGGGTAAACTGTATTATTAGAGTCAGCTGCGGAGGTCACCTGTGCTTTTGCCATATTGAAAATGCCATGCTCTTTCTTGAACTGGGCCAAGTGCAACTTAAAGATTTAAGTGAGTTGGCTCTGCTCGTCTGTGCCGTAATGAACGAGGTGGAAAATGCCTTGAGAGATCACCCACAGACATCTGAAAGTACAGAATGGTTTGTCCAGGGGAGTGTGTGTGTGTTGTGGTAGGGGGAGTTGGCCATTCTGGTAAACTCATTTGCCTTTAATGGCCATTGTTTCACTCAGCATTCCCAGTACCTCCCAAAGTTCAGTCATTAGGGCATCACCTTCAACAAATTTTGCCTTATCCATTTACTTAAAAAAACAACAACACAGACCACAAACTTTTAATACTTAAACATATCAGAAATAAGAACTTTATATATCTGTTGAAATTTCACGTTTGTTGTGCTATAGTTTTTCCTAATGAAATAAGTAGGTCAAATTAGCATAAGACCAGTCCATCTGTAGTCCACCTAAAATTATCTTGACGAATGTTCCTTTCATCTAATTTTAGCTCTTTTCTTTACAGAGTGGGTCCACAGGATGTCAGGGTAGAGGTCAAAGGGGAACCCAAAGACTGCAAATAAGGCCTTTTTGATGGAATTTTCTAGATCAACTTAAGCTGGTAGATGGGAATTAGGTTTCCCTGTAGGTTATCAGACTAAAGCAAGTTTGAGTTAGACTTTAGTTAGGTTTAATTTTTTTCCTTTTTTTTTTTTTTTTTTTTGACAAAAAACACAATACTTTTTAGGCTGTAGAGTTTCTAGATCTTATGTTTCCCTCTGTGGGTTTCCTAGCAGACTTTTTTCTGAAAAATTCTAAACTTGGGTTGGCTTCAAATAAGAGGAACTAAGGTTTCTTCTTGTTGATTTTAGCGATCATATCTACCCTGCCAGCTCTAAGCCCAGGAGTTAGCTCAGTTCAGCCAGAGTTTATGAGCTGCCTTTTCTGTGTCAGGCACAGTGCTAAGCGCTGTGATGCAAAGAGGAAGCTATGGTCCTGTCTTCTGTGAGGCGCAGCATATAAACAGCTGAAACAACCCAACGCATACAGCTATGTGCCAGATACAGCAGAAATGAGCTCTTTGGGTAGAGCAACAAGGGCCTTAGAAGCTGGGAGAGCACCGGGGGGGGGGGGGGGGGGGGGGGGCTGGGCACGTGGAGTGTGATATGAGGGGGGCAGCACACAACTTACGCCGCGATGAATGCTGTGGGTTTTTCTCCCCGCAGGCAGTCTTCATCGAAGATCATTCTGCAGAATTTCTGTGGGCTCTGCCTTGGCCCACATGGAATCCCAACAAGAATTAACGTTTTACATGTGCGGTAACGCACAGCCTCGCTGCCCTGACACCCTCCCATGAATTTGAAGTAAAAACTAGGGAACCTTCTTCAGTTGGCATATTGAGATGGCATCATTCCCAAAACAACATCTTAATGAGGTTCTGTGCCTCAGAAGCAACTCTCCTTGTTTAAACACTACTCGGGCACAGCCTACCCAACGGGAAGCAATGTGGCAGAAGTGGCTGGGCTCAGAGTATGAGTCTCAGATTGTGAGGGACTGTCTGGAGCAGCCTTGACTATGTCAATGACCCTGGACCTAGCTAGGGGGATTAGATGCCTAAGGGAAGAAAAAAAGCTTAAAACCAATCAGCCTTAAGCACCTTTAGGGAATGTTTGTACAGAGTCTGAAATAGGGAATTTCTAGTCTATACATAGCTATCACCCCACCCACCTCATAACCCAAGTCACCCCCTGCTAGAACTTGAGGTACACATTCAAACACCAGTAGCAGACAGATCTTCTGCTCTATGCATGTAGGGGTCAGTTAAAGGAGAAACTTCTAACCCATCCTCACTCTGGGTACCTAAGCCCCCCCAGTGTTCATTGTATTGATGTCTGCATTCATTCTTAGACTTTGGGGGATTTAATATATACAGGCTTTTAAAAAGTTTGTTAGCATGATTGTCCTCTGAAAAGAGCAAGAAATAAACCTGGTGTTAGGGGGAGGGGGCAGTGGGGACTGAGCATTACTTCAGACCCAGCCACATCTCTGTGTTGCCAGAGAACCACACCCCTTCTTAGACACAACCACAGCCGATTATTTCTTTTGGCCAGGTCTCTGACCTTGAAGGATCCAGACAGCTGCCTTGAAGCTTTGGGTGCTAGACATAATATGGGCAGAGTCCTAGAGTTATTTCTCTTTTATATATTTTATTTAGCATGCCTATACTGATATATTTTTTTTTAATTCACCACAAATTCTCCTCTTGAAGTAAATCTAAAATGCTTTACCAAACCACTGCCATTGATGTCATTACGGTACAGAAAGTCTAAAGCACGTTCAGAAATATAAAGAATGCTAGGACTTACGGCAGCATCCACAGGGGATGCCATATTGCCCTTCTCTTGGAGAGTCAGCAAGTTGGGAATCGGGATTGATCTCTGATGTGTGTTAAATCCTTGGTTTCCTTTCTTCTGGATGTGCTGAGACAGTTTTTTCTTGGAAAAATAGTTGATGTTCAGCTGGGGAGGTTGATTTTTTCTCCATCAGTTTTCCCCTTTAATAATTGAAAACTACTGTTCATTATTTACATAAAACTGTCTTTTACTGGTCTGCTTTCTATAACCTTTCCCCTCTGAAGAATTTTAAGAATTCCCTGACGTTGCTCTAGGGGATTTAATGTGTGCTTTATCCCAGATGTGAGACATAGACTAGGACTATGCTGAGGTTCCTTTTTTTTTTTAATGTTCCTACATTTGAAAGACATTCTTTTAACCTGTGAGCAAAGCTGCCACTGAAAAAAAAGGACTTTTAAGAAAATTAAGTAGTTAAAATATGTGAGTTTGGTTTAAATGTCTGACTTACTGAATGAAACCGAAATCCCATATGCAAAATGGAAAAGTAGACAGTAGTTTCAAATAATAGGGGGAAATGCCCACGTGTTATTCTAGCCTTTTGATTCTGGGATCTTGTTTTCTGAATGAAGGCGTGCCAGCTTCCAGTCCCAGCAAGCCCCGGCCAGGTCTTGCCCTCATGCTCGTGCTGTCAGTCCAGGGGTTGCGCGGGCCCAGCAGACGTTTTCCCTGCTTTTGTCTTCTCTGTTCCACCTTCTGTGGACGCAGTGAGGATGTTTAGCTTTACTCATAATATTTTGTCTGCTTGCATTCTTATAGATGTATTGATCCTAACCCTCAGTCCAGAATATAGAATGTTAGGAAGCAGGAGAGGTCAGAGTGAAGGAGGCTCTGCTAAGCAAGACAGGATTTTCCATTTTTTCCTAATGTCCATTCAGATTCCCAGATGGCATTTCACCACTAGCTTTTGGTGAATGTGGTTTTCATATTAGTGGCTAAAAAATAACCATCAAGCCTAAACTTTTAGCGTGACAAAAATGTGACAAGAATGCCTCCTTACTGCAAGTATTATACTGTTTTCCCAAGTCCAAAGTTCTGTTTTCCACAGTGTATACATGTCTGATGTATCGTACCTAATTAATTAAATAGCTGATTAATTGACTTTAAATTATTAAGTTTCAGTAAGTATCTTCCTAGTTCAAATTTCATTGTTTTAAAAAATATCTAAATTTTCAATCCTTGGACCTTTTCCTAGTGAGTTCACTACCTGCCATATGCTTCTACTTTGCCGTGTTTCCTTGGTTGATATGTCCTTCTTTTCTTGTTTTCCTCCTGCAGTATCTTTCGAAGATGGTTTGGCTGCCTTGGAGGTTTGGAGATCTGATGCCACGATGAGGACTCACACACGGGGGGCTCCCAGTGTGTTTTTCATAGCTTTACTTTGCTCCGTGTCAGCCTACATCACTGACGAGAACCCAGAAGTCATGATCCCCTTCACCAACGCCAACTATGACAGCCACCCGATGCTGTACTTCTCCCGGGCGGAGGTGGCGGAGCTCCAGCTCAGGGCCACCAGCTCCCACGAGCACATCGCCGCCCGGCTCACCGAGGCTGTGCACACCATGCTGTCCAGCCCCTTGGAGTACCTGCCCCCCTGGGATCCCAAGGACTTCAGTGCCCGCTGGAATGAAATTTACGGCAACAACTTGGGTGCCTTGGCGATGTTCTGTGTGCTGTATCCTGAGAACATCGAAGCCCGAGACATGGCCAAAGACTACATGGAGAGGATGGCAGCTCAGCCTAGTTGGTAGATTTTTGTCTTTTTCTTCTTCCTGTATTAACTCTGCAATTTAAAGAAACGAATTTATACTCAGATGAAATCTCAAGAGGCCAGATTTTCACATACTTGTTTGTGTGTGTGTGTGTGTGTGTGTGTGTGTGTGTGTGTGTGTGTGAGTGAGAGAATGAAAGGACTTGCTTGTTATTTGTGTTGTCAGTGGCTTATCCAACGTCTATAGTTTCAAAAAGGCTAGTAACTCCCATGTTTAAAGTTAGAGGGAAAATATTTAGATACAACCTAACCAAAGAAAAAGTAATTTGTTGGATTGAATAAACAGTAACATTTTGATTGTTGAGAATTTTTCTCATCTTGTTTAAAAAGTACACATTACTGTCATCTGGCTGTAGGTTCTGATTGACCCGCAAACCCCCCCCCCCCCCCCACACACACACACAGTGGTTCAACTTCTATGCAGCAAGAAATTTCAGGCAATTAAAATCTATTTTTATGATAGGAGCTAAAAGTAAATGTGATGGGATTATTTTGTAGTCTGTAAACAAGTTCTTATCCAGTTGCCAGCAAATTAGCCAAACCTGTAGGAAAACTAGTGTTGTAGTGTAATTGTGTAAGGAATTCGTATCTATACTAATAAAAGCCTATGTGGTTGTGACACCCTCATGCCGTGATGCCCTCATGCCGTAACAATCCATCACCAGGAGGCTGCGTGTGCAGGGGGTACGCATGGGTGGGCAGGGACTTGATGCTGCGTGTGCGGTGCAGAGGCGGGACCCCCAGCTCTTTGGGGCAATCCATCAAGGAGCCCCAGATGGGTGGGTGGGGCCTACTTCTTTGGGGTGATTGATTGTGGGGCTCCCGCACTGTGGGAGGGCACAGGCCAGGTTGGGGGAACCCCCCTCCCCTCGAGTGCACAAATTTCATGCACCAGCTTTCTAGTTATGTAATAATTTACTTTCAAAAATTCAAGATTTGAGGACAGACTTCCTCTCTCCTTTTGATTAGTTTAACTTTATTTGTTTATAATTTGTTTCCAAAAGATATGGATGAGTAGATTAAATTAGAGAATCTATGTAATCTTACTTAAGCTATGTCTTAACACATATGCATGGCTCAGTTACACTAAAAAAAATTACAAACTATATAATATCCTTTTAAAATTACATAAACTGCTACTTGTCATAGGGCTAGAGAGAACTCATTGTTAAGTGCTTAGAAAACTCAGTGAATGTATTTGATGCTGTGATGAATTAGATCTCCCATGAATTACATCTTGCATTTCATAGGGGTGAGGAATGGTATAGTTTGCAAGCTTCCTGAGTTTTGCCAATAGGGCAAATAAACTTAATTCTTTCTAAATTTCTGCTAGTAAGGTAACGACTGTTGTTTGCTTATAGAGTTTGAAGGATTTTCTAAATGAAAAAGATTATGGAAGAGTTGTCATTAAATCCCTAACAGAGCTGACTTTTTAAGACTTCTTAGTTAGATATGTCTAGTCATTGTGAAGCTTTTACAATATTTTAGATAGAAAAGAACCTTTTTAAAAAAAATTTGTTTCATAGCTGAACCATGTATGCAGTAGTTTCTGACTTTGGCACTAATTAACTGATCTTATTTTATTGACACCAAGAAAGAATATAAAAGATGTATGAAATTTTATTTGATAGTTGAGTTATAAGATTATATTATTATCACATGTTATAATTACCTGACATTGTGTAATTAGTTAAATCTGGCAAGCATATTTATTTAGAAAGAAAACTTTGTTGTCTTATAAGGGTACTTTTTTTTTAAAGCTCTCCTCACCAACCCTTTTTTTATATACATAGTGAAATTTGACAGATTAAGATACTGGTGAAATTGTTCCAGAGATATAGTTACTGTAAAAAGTCATCTATTTGACCTCATAAAAGAGTAGTTGACTAGGAAGTATCATTTCCTTAATGGAGATTATTTTAGCACAAATATAAAAACATTAAAAGAATTGAATGACTAGTGCAGTTTTATTTACTATAATATAAACATTCAGGCATGTAAATGTCAGCTTGAATGAATGTTGTTAATAGAGAGGATTAGACTCTTATCATAAAAGGAGAATAACTGACTTCATATAAAAATGAAAAGTTTTACATAGTTTCTACAGGCTTAGATTTACTTGGTTTTGGAGATGTGTAGAAATTTACTAGAGGGCTAGTACTTTATTCATGGTAATATTGATAAAAATGGGTATAACCCTATGCCATTATCCAGTAACGTGTAAACCAGTCTGTGACTTAATAGAACTGAACAATTGACTTCTTTTGCTTGACCTCCTAGAAGATGAAGGTCACAAATTGAGAATTTACTTTTACATCTAGTTTCTAGCTCCAGAAGTGATCCTAGCATAAAAATTTGAGCTACTGGAACATTTTGTCTTGGCAAGTACTATTACTAGGCTGTGTTTTTTAATCATTTTGTGGAAATTTTAACTTTCTAAAAGCTGCCACACCTAATCCCTAGACTCTTAAATTCTCATTTAAATTTGTAGTTGAACATAATCACTTTTTGACAATTTAAAACACTGTTAGATGTTTTTCTAGTTCAACTGTCTCTTTAAATAAACTAAATCATATGTCCCCATTATGCACAGAGAAGTATATTGTGGGTATGGTCATTGTCTTAGGATAGGTTCACCTATATTTGGTTTTTTTGGGGGCTGGGGGGAGACTAATTCTTATTTACAAAAAATCAACAATCAGTAATTCATATTTTGGAATTTTTAAGTAAAGCTTTCTACAAGGCTTCATCAAACTTACTATATTTGCCATTTTCCTTGAAGAACATTCCTACTGTTTCGAAAACCACTAAATTGTGTTCATTGACTTAATCAACATTTATTGAGCATCTGTTGTATGTCATACCCAGTGCAGGATGCTGGGGACTCAGAAGGGGGGCCAACATTGGGTATTTGAAAGCTAAGCAAGGCCTATATCCTCTCCTCAGAAATGAGTGTCCCGTCATTACGAACTTACCAGGTGCTTCACGCTGCACTCCAGTGCAGTGGAAAAGTGCCAGGTCTGTAGTCACATGGCCTCGATTGGAATCCCAGCTCCCCTTCTTCAGCTGTTATACTTCAGACTAGTTTACTTACCTTGTTTGAGCCTTAGCATTCTGATGTATAAAGTAACAGTAACAGTGGTATCTACCTCATAGGGTTCTTAGGATTAAATGAGGTAAAGTACTTAGCACAGTTTCTGTCACACAGTAAATAAGAAAAATGACAACTATGATAATTATTGTTACTGTTATTTACTTAGCACTGGACCCTGTTTGGTTTATAATTTGGTATATGTAGGCTCTAAGGAAATAGTATTTGGTATTAATTTGGAGACTTTACTCATTTTTGTTCAGATTGCTCTCAAAACTAGAACATCTGTGTAACTCATAAAATTTTCCTTTTCGCTTTATTGCATTAAACTTTCAGCAATGCTCCCCTGGGCCCTTCATGCATCTAAGAATCTGATGCTAATGCCAGTGAGGAAGGCTTACGAGAAAGGGACAATGATGTGTCTTTTGTCTGGTATTAGAAGGAACTATATCTGAGTTTAGCATGAATACAGGTGTATTCATGTGGTTCATGTCATTTGAATATTTTGTAAATAAAGATCTGAAAGACCATATATATAGATTCACTTATTTATGAATCTTGGGCCATTATAAAAGAAAAGCTAAATGGGAAATGTTACCTAATTCTACTGATGTTGTCATGTGTCCAATGTACTACAAAGTTGAAAGGAAATCTGATAGATTGATGATGATGGTGGTGATTGATACCACAGAGATGAGACTCTGTGTTCTGTGTCAGCTTTTGCAGAGATGCCCACATCCTGTTGCAAAAGCTCTCTCCTTTGAACTGTCTTCTGCTAATGCTGAAACGTTCTTCATAACAATAAAAGTAACAGTACTTTAAGCTTGCTCTTAGTTCTAAAAATCAAATTTTAAAAGATATTTTAACCAATATGTATAAAATGGCCAATTATTTTTCACACAACAAATAATATTTTTGATTTTTGAATGAAGCCCCTTCTCCCTCATAGATCTCATCTTCCACATGAGAGTTGGGATTTGGGTTGCAGTTGGCTCTGTGTTAGGTAAAAGCGTGGCCAGAATTCAATATGCAACCACTTTAAGTACACTTAATGAGCTGAGATCATAGATCTGGGGCTGGTAACAATACAAAATGCGTTTTATTGCACTTAAAATGAATTCACGTTTTTATATAATGTCACCTAGTTACTAGGACAAGTTCTGTGTTAGGCCAATTGGCACATGGAGGTATTCTCATTTATAAATGGTTGCTTTGTGCATTCAGTTCTGACATAGTTAAGAAAAAGAGCACAATTGATCTCCAAATAACTAAAAATCTTTCATCTTTTTTCCCCACTCAACAGCTTAAACTTTAAGGTAGGAAAATAATAAAAGAAGTTCTTAGTGGAGATTTAAAGGGATGTCCATAAAGTCAGTTTCTAGGATGAGTTTTTGGAGTTAGCACATAGTACTCTACTTTCCTAAAATTTTTAAAATATTTATGCATATTTGTATTTACTTATTTCTACTGTGCCTTTCCCTCAGAAGAAACATTAAGGAAACATAAACTACAAGAATCAAATTTGAAGTAGCTGGGAAAGAAAAGGAGGGATAAAAGGTTAGGGACATCAACTGGACTGGGAGTGAGACAGTAGCTGAAATGCTTCTTCTATGCCATGGGCGGGCCACAGGTGGACCCTGAGATTTTTAGCAGCAAGGAAAGTAGGCTCAGTTAGTTTTTAGCAAACAGTGTCCGTGGAATTGAAAACAGGTCAGTTACTCTGCAGAGATGCTATTCTGGACCCAAGGATCAGATAGAAATTTCCCTTGGGGTTTTCATGAAGAATCTTCACCCTAGTGCCAGGAGCACCCATACAGCACATATGTGATGAGTTGTACAGTGCTGTTCTTTTTACACAAGATTAGACTGAGGGCAGGACTATGTC